AATAGGGTAAGTAGGTTGGCAGGAAGGTTTAGAGGGTTTTCTGGGTCCTTTAGTTGTATCGCAGGGTTGGGTACAGATATGGCATATGGGATTGCAGGCTCTATAACTTTGTTATTTTCTGGTAAAGTTATAGTATTATCAGAATCCAAGTGATTAATAGTATTGGTAGGGTTAGGGTTTCTTTGGCTATAGGTGATTATAGCGAAGTGTATTTTTTTAGTAATCTTGGATTTGATTAGGGTAACAATAGTGGGAAATAGATCGGAATCCAGGTTTTCTTGTTTTAGGATAGTACGGCTTTGATACAGGAGGTGTTTATTTCCTTCCTTAGGGAGATCTTCTGATCTTCTGGTTAATGCATTGGATTTAGCATCTAGCTTTTTAAGGTGATAAATGATTCGGAAATTAAATCGAGACAGAAATTCGGATTAGCGGGTTTGATGATAGTTCAATAACTTCGTTGTAGTAAAGTATTCCAGATTCCTATAATCAGTGATCACTTGAATTAATAATGTAGTGTTTTTCAATTCGGAATGTCATTCTTTGAAGCAACAAATAATAACTAGTAGTTCTTTATTGTAAATCTTATAATTACATTCAACTACCAAGTGTTTTTTAAAGAAGAATATAACAGGTTTAAGTATTTCATTATTATTATATTAGGAGAGTATTTTAGCGGATATATAATCGGAAATATCGATTTCTACAATTATTTCCTTTTCCTAATCAAAAAAAGCTAGAACAGGTACTTCAATAAATACTTGCTTCAATCAATCAAATGCTTCTTAACAGGTAGAGCTTTACAAAAATGAAACATTCTTTTTGATCAAATTTACCATTGAATTAATAATCTTTAAAAAATCTTTAATAAATTATTGGTAAAAGTTCGAAAACCTAATGAATACTTAAACATCGGTTACACTAGCAGGTGGTTTCCAATCTACAATTGTTTGGATTTTCTCTAAATCTATTCGGATATTATCGCTTTTTATAATAAGGCTTAAAAACTTGATTTCGGATTTCAGGAATTTATATTTTTCGAATTTAGTGAATAAGCCGGTTTCCCTCAATACTTACAGAACTTTCTGGATATAGCGAACATATTTCTCTCGAGTTCGGCTATATATCAGAATATCATTCAGGTAAGTGGTGCAAAATATATCCAGATATCCCCATAGAGAATTATTAATAAACCTTTGGAAAGTTGCGGGAGCCTCTGTCAGCCTGAACAGTATAACTAAGGATTCGAATAGTTTGAATCGGGTATAGAACACAATCAGGTATTCCTGCTTTTCTTTCACTTTTATATTGTTGAAGATAGAGATAATATCGATCTTACTAAAATACTTTATTTCTTTCAGATTATTCAAAGATTCTTTATTAATAGTAAAAGATATCGATTCTTAATCGATAAGTTGTTTAAAGTGTAGTAATCTATATAAAACTAGAGACTTTCATTAGCTTTTTTGACAAATAAGATAAGAAAAGCGATAGGGGAAAGCTTAGCTGAATGAATTCTTTTCTAAAATTCTTTTCTAGTTATTCTTTCAGGACTTTTAATTTGGGGTGGGATATAGAATATAAGGTATTGAAAGGAGAAACAGTTTTTTCTTGAAACGGATTTCATTGTCACGGGGTGACACTAAGCCCTTTCTGTCCTGTCCTGTCCTGCTATATATGTGAGAGTAAGGTAGAACTTCCAGTTCTACCTCCTAGTCTTTTGGGCGTTTAGCTCAGCGGTAAAGCTTCTGAATACTCCCAGAAGTGATCCCGTGACATTCATAGTTGTATAGTTGATGAAGAAATAGTTTCTTTGTATTTTTTAAGGAAAAGATATCTTTTCAATTTTGAAACTCGAATAATAGGTTTTTGGGATCGAATATTTTCTTCTTCTTATTTAGAATATCATTGATTTGTTTGATCGATATCTAGAATATTTTATATTTCTGGTGGGTATAAGTCGAATAGGCTCTCAGGGAGATTGTAGTTATATCCTTATTCTTTAACTCTTCGAAATGGGTAAGTAAGTATATAAATCAGGTTTTTGAAGGAATATTTGATAAAGCTTTTATACAAAACAGACGGAATGGAGTATTACAAAATTTGTAGTAAAACGAGCTATCAAACTGGAACAAGTTTATTGCAAAATCGATACAGGGATTCTGTTTCTTAAGCCAAATTATCTTCAACACAATAGGATAATAGGCTAGCTCGGTTATATACAAAACAATCTTCTTTTCGATATAATCATTAATTCTGAGTTCTATTCAAATATAAAAGATAATTCGATTATCAAATAGAGTGTTTCCATCGAATTTTATAACTTTGAATACTATAAACAATTAATGTACTAATATTTTCTAAAAAGATATTCAATTTCAATCTATAAAGATAATTCCTTTACATTGTTATTGATTATAGTATATATCGGAAAGATATCTTTTTTTAAGAGTAGGGTAATGAATAGAATTATTAGATTTGTATAATTGTTTAGTTTATTTTCTAAAGGAAGGCCATAAGTAACAGCAATAGATAAGTAGAGGATACACAAAGGATCGTTCTGATTGCGATTTAGGTTAAACGTATTCCGTTTCCCGAATTGATTGAGCTGATCGGCGAGTGAGGAGGAGAGCGAGGTAGGGAACGAATAGGGACTTAGCTTTTTAAAGGACTATTTGATATAAGGCTGATTCTTATAAAACTGGTTATAATAATAATAACTCGAAGTTGAATAGAACGGATATCAGAATACAAACAATCTTATATCAAATGGCTAGCAGAACCATAATGATAATATTCGTTATATTCCTGCTGCGAATCCAGGTTCTTAGTAGTATATTCCTTTTTTCCTAAGTTCAAATCTATTGGATCTTTAGGAGTAGATTTTGGGCTAGCAAGTTGTAAAGGCAAAATAGCGATTATTCTTCAGAATAAAGTTTCGGAAATAACAAAACGAATATAATAGATTTGTTATTAGTATTAACAAAATCGGTTATTGAATTATTATAGATAATTAGTATATTAATAAAATTCACAGATTGAAATAGGATTATACAATAGTATATCTTATAGTTTACAAGAGATTCCTTGAAATAGAAATGGGGTTAAAGTATTATCAAGCATTTCTTTTTCTAAAATAAGTCTTTGGAATTCTATAAAGAAAATATTAAAATCAAGATATCTTTACTTTAATATATATAGTTTGTTTTATATATTTTATATTCGATTAGAATCCCTAAAAACGTTTTCGAGATATTCGAGGAATGCAATATAATTAGTGAATTGAGGAATCCTATAAGAGATCTTAGATAATATAAGCTTATATACCTTTCCAATAAGTCTTCCAATAATATAAATTAAATAGATAGAAATTATCGGGAATTTATTATTATTTGTATTCAATTTTCCATATATCTATTAAACAAATCTGCACAGATCGAAACAAATATTATCAAACTTTTTTAAATCGGGAATATATTTATTCAATCGAATAATCGGAGCAGATACAATAGGTTCGAGAATAGAGTCAGCAAAAGTTTCAGAAAATACAATTTTCAAACAAGCAAATATAATAAACATGGATTCGGCAAAGCAATCGAATAAACAAGCGTTTTGAATAACAACCTACTCGTATAAAGCAGCTTGAATACATTCGCAAACTAGAGATTCGGAAATTTCGTATTCAAGCAATCTATTGATCTTTTCCAATTTGGCATAATATATAGATGCCGATTGAAGGTATTGATACCAAACCTAAGGGTTTTCCGATACAAAAACGCCAAATTCTGAGAAGTCCCCAAACTAGCCAGGCAGATACAAAGTAGTTATCATGAAAACGATATTTTAATGAATAAAAGCTATATAGTATTATAGAGCAAGCAGGCAGAATAGAATTCTAATAACTTTGCCCTAATCTAATAAGGTTATATTAATTTGAATAATAGATTCAGATTAAGAATTAAGATATAGCTCAAAAAGCTATAATACAGAATCTTCCAAGTTGAAGATATACAGGATTTTGCTAAGCGAGCTAGCCCGATCGGGCTCTAGCTTACTTGCGCTCTGGCGCGAGCGCCCAATTCGTTCCCCTCCGAGGGGACCAATATGTCACGTGATCTCACACCGTGACAATTATAATAATTCGAATTTTCAATAAATAATTAGATTTTCATATTATTTATATAATTAAATTTTATAATTTCAGTTTTTAGAAAATTCTATCTATAAATAAAGAAAGTGCACGGTTACGCACAGACGAATTTTGTATGTAAAAATAATGGTTCACTCGGTGTTAAACCACGTTAAAACATACAAAAATAAAATAAAATGAAATTTATAGCAATCTATTCTTTTCTTCTCTACTCTTTTCTTTTCTCCTTTCTTTTTGCTCAGTTACTTTGAGTTGGGAGTTGGGAGTTGGTTGGGAGTTGATTCGTTTAATTTGTTTATAATCTTGGGCTTGTGGTGGGTAGGTAGGTAGGTAGGTAGGTAGTTGTGTGATGGGTAGGTAGGTAGGTAGTTGTGTGATGGGTGGATGGATGAATAGATAAAGAGATAGATAAAGAGATAGATGAAGAGATGGATGAAGAGATGGATGAAGAGATGGATGAAGAGATTCGAATCGATCTCTCTTGAGGGGTTTTTTGGGGGTTTCTCTTCGGGGGGTTTCTGGGGGGGAGGGGAGGGGGTGTTCTTTTGGGGATTGTATAGATGGATAGTGGATAGTGGATAGTAGATAGATGGACAATGGATTATATGTGAAGAGTTTAGAAGGGAGAGGGAGAGTGGTAATATTATTCTGCCTGCCTGCCTGCCTGCCTGCCTGCTAACTAGCCAGCTAGCCAGCTAGCTAACTAATTGATGATTTGATTCCTTTTCCTTGTTATCACAACCCCCATACCCAACCTGATTTCCTGATTTCCTGATTTCCTGATTTTCTGATAGGCATAAGCTCAGAGGAGAATATTTGTGTAAATACATCGCATCATAGGCTATCTTGTCTACTTGTCTCTTTGCTGAGGTTGAGATTGAGATTGAGATCGAGAAGAGGAGAAAGAAGCAGAAGCGAGTTTTAGGGGCGAGATTTCGGGGGTGGGGGTGCTGAGGGGTGTGCTGAGGGGTGAGCTTGGGGATTTGCTGAGAGGGTTGCTGAGAGGGTTGCTGAGAGGGTTGTGGGGAAGGTGAGAGGGGGGATTGGTGAGATTGGTAGGATTGGTGGGGACTGTGGGTTGAGGTTAGTTTTGAGGTTGGGGTTTATGAAGTGGATGGTGTGTTGGGAATTTATTTATGAGATGAAAAAGAAGGAAAGGAAAGGAAAGGAAAGGAAAAGAGATCTTCATACCTGCAGAAGAAACGCCAGGAACCTCGGGAACCTCGAGAACCTCGCTAGTCTCAGGAGAAACCGAAACCGAAAATCCATCGTCCGTCTTTCTCTCAGAAGTTGCGGCTGCGGCAGGCGTCGGTGTCTCCGGGAGAGGAATCTTCGCTGCGATGGAAGATGGTGTGTTTAGGATGGGGGTTGAGGTTGTGGTTGTGGTTGGAATTGGGGTTGAGATTGGGGTTGGGGTGGAGGGGAGGGGAATTTGCGATGGTGTGATGGGTTTGAGGATCTGGTATGCGGCTGTGGTGATGAGTTGTGTTAGTATTTATGGATAGAGATAAATATGAGGATTCTGGGACTACATACCAGAGCGCGATTGGGGTGTACTTGGAGTATTTGGAGTATCCATAACTGCGAAATAATCACTGTATTGTTTATTGAATGATGAGATGGATGTGAGAAGACGTTGTAATGTAAGAAAGATTCTCAGGAATTAAGATGGGGAAGTGAGGATTTATGTAGTGGGATTTTGAGGGGTTGTGTTTGTGATTGTGTCATTGGGAGGGGAGGTAAGGTTGTGCAAACAGATAGTTTTATTTGCTAGAGATTCCAAGGTGGGGAGGATCAAACTTATTAGAGATTGGTTAATCTTGGAAGTGGTTTGTACCTAGGCTGGTGTGCTTGGTTTTCACGGGATAGTATTCACTTTTGTTTTGGGACTTCGCTCAGGATGCTCAGGTGTGGTTAGAAGGATGTGGATGTGTAGCATAGAGATAGGTAATAGATAGTTTTGTGTCTGAGTAGGTAGCTTTAAGTGTATTGTTAGATGAAATGTATTTGTTTATATGATAACAAATGTAAGCAAGTCACACGAGTGTGTGAATCAAACAACCTGCAAAACTAATTCTTATTGTCTCCATTTTGTGAATTCCGTAAATTGTGCTATTCATCTTAATCTTCACCAGAGCCATATTGTAAGCAGGCAGTACTCTAATCCGTCATTATTCACCTAGTTTTATATCCAGTTTTGACCTCCTTTCATGCAAATATTTTTGGCCTCTCAACGAACGTACTAGGAAGAAGGAAATATAAGAAAAGAATCTAAATTGCGCAAGTACTAAGAAATTGTTCATTATCCTTTTCGCTCAATGAAACGCGTATTGGTATAACTTTCCTATTATATCATGTCCCAAGCTTACTACTCGACCCCTCATTTCACCTCTTAAATGATTGGGCAAACACCAAAATACCCTATGCTTTAATCTATATTTGTATTGCAATTCCTCCTGAAATTGAAAATACAGGAAGCTAGTACTACAGATAAGCTCTGCGAAACGCTAGCCGCGCGCTAGCTACATTAATACCCTCATATACAGTCATATCATCAATAACCCAATGACCATCTAAAAATCCAACGATAAAGGAGATAAATTAAAATACAACAAGATTGATTGATAGCAATCCCGAGAAGAAGAGGAAATCTATTTGTAATTGCCAAACAAAACAGAATCATCGGCAAAAGAGTGAAGAAATCTTACATGTAAAACAAAGCGAGAGGTCATCTATGATAGTACTACGATCCCTTTTCAAGGATTTTTTCAAGACTCGGCTTTCTTCGTTGCCTTTGTTCTGAGCTTCATCATGAAATATACCAATGCATAGATACCAACAACGAACACCACAACAATCCCGGCATTTCTCCATCCATAGGATTTCTCCGGGAGATTCAGGGTCTTTAAATAGTCTCCACCATGAGTGTATTGGCACACACGACAATCAGCGTTAGCTTCTGGATTCAAAATATTGATTCCTGACCCCATGCCACGCTGATAGATATCAAGATACTCGCCGCATGTTTGATTTGGAGACGGGTCAAAGATGGCGAGTTCGTCGGTTGTGCAGTGAACAGGCTTGTCCCAAGATGTGAATATAAGCAGGGCACTCATAAGATAATTGTAAGGGTCGAGATAGTATATCCTGCAGAAGAAGGCTGTTAGATTTTGCTTCAGTGCGAAAATAAATATAAAACTTACCAGTATTTCCAGAAAGGTTCAATTTGGCTGTATGGTACCATGACACCGCAGAACGAAACCAGAGTTGTAATGACTAATGGGTTGACAAGTGATGCAAAGACAGCGTTGGGGGCGTAAGCGGCAATCGCCTGTCCGATAGCAGTATATAAAAGTTCATACAATATCTGAGTTCATGTTAGTCCACAGCAGTGTAGACAAAGAGGGCTGGGCCAGAAAAACTTACCACGACGAAAAACACACTCCCAGCGGAGTTTGCTCCAGAGGGAAGACCAGCTGTGAAATACCAACAGACATAGTACAACAAGGCGCAGACGATTAAGTAAGGAAATTCCGAGACAATAAGCCCTGTAACAAAAGGAGCCCAATGATACATCTTACTCTTCTTTTCCCGTGCCTCATAAATGTCGCGACGATCGATAAAAAGAGGCTGAAGCTGGGCAATAACACCTGGGGCCACAAAAATGAAGCTGAAAACAGTGAAAAGATTACGCTGAAGATCTGTAAGATTATCCCCAATCATCCAAAACGAGAAGCCGTTGAGAAGGGCTAGACTGACATGCATAGCAAACTTGTTGTTGAGATATTCAGTGTTTCGAAAGAGTGAAACATTCATGCGATGTGTCACATGCTTAATCTGTGTCCACTGGGAAGCCGCGAATTCGTATCCATCAACATTATCCTCTACAGACCTTGTGGCTGCCTCGCTTACCATAGTGTCCAATTTCTGGGAGAGCTTCTCGTGTTCTGGAGATTGCAACCAGACTTGGTTCCAATCTCGACTTTTATCCGAATTTCCCAACCCGGATACAACATCGATCATGTGCTCTGCTGGATTGGCTTCTGGAGGACAAGGTTCTCCATGGCGTGCGAAGTAATCTTTCATCGTGCTAGCGTTTTCACCGATATCACCAAAGTAGACAGTTTTACCACCTTTCGCAAGTAATAGAAGGGTGTCAAACTGTGCAAACAATTGCGCCGAGGGCTGATGAATAGTGACCAAGACAGCTTGCCCAGCTCTTGCAAGTTTTCGAAGAAAGCGAACCGTGTTGTAAGCAGATTGCCCATCAAGGCCCGATGTAGGTTCGTCGAGGAAGATAAGAATGCTTGGCTTTGCTACCAACTCGACACCGATAGTAAGGCGCTTGCGTTGTTCAACTGAAAGTCCGGCGCCAGGACGACCGACGAGTGTATGTTCAAGGTCATTTAATTCAAGAAGATCGATGATTGTGTCCACATAACGTAGCTTTTCCTCGTCAGGTATATCGCGAGACTGGCGTAAAAGGGCTGAAAATTCAAGGGCCTCTCGAACAGTTGCCAAGGACTCATGAACATCTAGTTGTTCAACATAACCAGCAGAGCGTTGGAATGAGATGGGGATGGGGCGACCATCGACTAGTACAGATCCATGAATAGTACCTTCCGTTTTGCGCTGTGCCAAGACATCAAGAAGAGTTGTCTTACCCGCACCTGAAGAGCCCATTAGAGCTCCAAGAATGCCAGGTTCAACATATCCTTGAACGTTATCAAGAAGAACTCTGTCACCACTAGGGGTTTTGACAGTGTAGGTCAGATTTTTCCATGTAAAAATGCTCTTGTTGCGGATAAGGTCTTTGTTGACGCTCCCACTAGGCGTGTCAGTTCCAGAGACGGACCCAGACTCAGGCAGAGGCTTTTCAAGAGCTTGTGCCTCCTCATCTTTAGGTTGTAACAGATGCTTCGATTTTTGCTGTTGTTCTCGAGGCACGAGAAGACTCCGGCCACCTTCTCCTGGGAGTTTCCATTTGGAAGTGAAGAATATTGTAAGCCCAACAAAGAGTACCCACCATGCGCAGACGATGCCAAAGTTGCGCCATAAGTGACTATGGCTGAAGGACATGGATGCAAGATATTCGTCACCTGTAACGCTTGTGGCTCCAGGGACTGCTCCACCAACACCAATACATGACTGCCCACCCTCACCAGGTGTATATCCGGGACCATTGGGAATGAGGTAAGGGCCAACACAATCCAATTGTTGCCCGTGGAACTCATTCCCAAGAAGAGATTCGAAACCGTACGCCATAGGGTCAATCCAGTAGATCCAAACGAACCATGGATGCATGTCAGGCTTAGTAATCATGTAGCCCATATATGAGAAGAGGCCGACCGTTGCAAGACCTGAGACTTTGGTGGCAGCATCAAAAGTAGGGAAAGCAGCGCCGATGAACCGGAAGAGAGATGTCATGGACATGGCAGTCATAAAATTGACGACCAAGTAGGTAAAGAATGCACCAGCTGTTCTCTTAAGACCAACCATGAAGTAGAAAACAATACCAAAGTGAGTGACCTGGAACAATAGAATTGGAAAGTCGGCAATAATTTGGGCAAAGCAAACAGCTGCGGGGTGATATAGAGCGAAACCACGATGCTTAGCCAAGATAGGCCTGCTTGTGAACGAATCTGTGACTTCCGAAAGAGCTATAAGAGCGTTGTATAAGATCGAAAAAAATAAGGCACCACCCTTGAGGAAAAGGCCTGCTGAATTATCAGGAGCGGCATAGAAGAGTGAGCCACCAACCAATGCTTGAATAACTGTGGCGCCTTGCTTCATAATGAGTGTTGACTTGTCACCCCACATAATCTGGTACTGTCTGGTGACAGCAGCCTTAATCTGAGTAATGAAGTCGGTGGTAACTGGAGAATTTTCAGACACTCCTTTGTGCTTCTCAAGGCGTACCATCTCTTTGAACACTGATGTATTTTCCTTGGCTTCCTCACTTGTTGCATAACTTTGACACTCTCCCAACATCTGAAATTTGATTTCCGATTGCTCGTACGCGGCACGGACCTCACCGGCTGTACGTGGAAAGGATTTCTCAAAGCCAGGAGCAATGCGACGTTCGGTGGGTACAGTCACACCGGTCAGAAAATCTGACCGATTAGAACCAGAATCTCGGATGAATCCCAAGCTTTCCATGAAAGGAACAGCATCATTCTGTTTTCCGTAATAGATTTGTTTTCCCTCGTCAAGGACAAGGACTTTGTCGAAATGTTCGTAGATACCGTTGCCAGCCTGATAAAGAGTGACAATGGTTGTGAGCCCCAGAACGTCGGTCATGACTCGAATTGCCTTGATCCAATCTAGAGCTGTGCTAGCGTCAAGTCCTCTTGTTGAGTTATCCCAGCAGAAAACACTCGCTCGAGTTGTTAAACATTCAATAATTGACACACGCTTCCGTTCTCCTCCAGAAACACCTCTGGTAAAGGCGTCGCCAACCTTTGTAGAGGCAGTGTGAGAAATACCCACTGAACGTAGGAGAAAATCCTTGTTAAACTGGGCGTACTCCTCAGCTGTCTTGATACCAGGCGGTAAGTGATAGGGAGTCTTCATGCGAGC